TTTCAAAATACTGAGTGAAGTTGTTGAAAGAATAAAGAATCAGTCATAATCAATCCTTCCTCCTCCTCTCTACTGCTGTGTTTCACTGCCAGCTGTTTTTTCTCTCCGCGAGCAGATAAGTTAACAACAATGGGACAGGCTTCGTTTGAGCCTGATTCAGTATTCAATTCACTATTAGCCGAGCTAGCCTGCTGTGCTTGTGTAAATGTAGAGGATAAGAGACTGTGGACCGGGCAGACAAAAACATCGCTTTGTACAGGTTTACAAGCTTAGGCTTGATGTAATGATGAAGTATTTGTATTTTTTACTTAATGCATGTACTTGCAGTAACAATCGTAGCTGAACATCAACTGAAGTAATTTGGAGTTAACTTCGCCTTCATTTCACTGACTCCCCCGTGGGCTCTCTGATGCTGTGTGCGTGTTTGTGGGATATAAATGTGCGGTTTGGGGTTTAGGATGCTTTGGGGGTTTGAGTTTTGTTTTGCAACTTTTGAGTTGAGCTAAAATGCTTGAAATTGCCTTGAAAGCTGAAGAACGTGTGTGTCTGTTGTTCATCACAGGTACGAATAAGCCTCCTGACAGGACACTTACTGTGGTTGCCATTGTCATCCCTGTCATTCTGTCTATCTGCGTCATTCTGTCCTGCTACTGCTTCAGGAGGTACGTTTTTGACAGAGAAAAGCTGACCTACGTAGACCAAACCCAAAAAGATTTGCATCTACTGTACCTACTACACCATGTTTTGTAGACAGGGCGAAGTACATTTGTGGGTGTCCAGTTGCTTTATACCAAATTTTGCAATCTATTTCAAGAGTCGATGTTGCAAAGCATACCTTTGTGAAACACTATTTGAGAAAACATGTCACTGAGATTAACCTTGTATAAAGGTTCGGTGCATTTTATCATACCAGCCAAGAAGCAGAAGTTATGCATGTGACTGTTTTTTCCCCAAAAAGAATAAGCAGATATTTAGGACATTTGTTGTGAGCGAACGGCATTCAACGCAAAGAAACCTAATCATTCTTTACAACTGGCAAACACTGAAAGGTTAAAACTGCACCTGACTTTCTTGGAGCGCTGCCACCGCTTCAGTGTTTGATCAGTGGACAAAGTTAACAAACCTGCCCCACCCTCAGTCACTGCTTGGTAGGTGTAGCAAGACAGTTTTTAAAATTAGTGTACAGTTCACTGCAAGCCAGTGCAGAGATCTGGCTACAAGTGTGAGATGTTCAGTTTTCCAGAACTCTAACAGTCATGGACGCAGTTTCTGAGGAAAAAAAAACATCTGCCTGTTGACATGTTCAATATTATACTTTGGTGGTGGAAACATTGTGAGCTGGTTGTTGCTTTGTCACTCATTTGCTTGTTGTGGTCTGTCTGTTTGTAGGCACAGCGCCATTATTTGCCCCATCGTACCTGATCCTTCGGCAATATTCAAGGAAATGATGATGAACGGAAACAAAGAACTTAAGGTATATTTTCAGGGGGGAAAAAAGCTCTATCACATGCTCCCTCTGTCTCCACAAACACTCATTACACTCTTGTTTTTCAGCCGCCAACAGGAAGTCTGTACACACCGATGCCAGAACCCATTGAACCCTGCAATATTACCCTTGTGACAGAAAGCACTGCCCTCAAGCAAAACTCTTGACATGGGCAGGTTCCCAACAGCGCCTGCAGTGCTTCCACTCTGGGCGAATTCATCAGGGACATTTACAGAGCAACTTAAAGCAGGCTGAAACTGTTTTGTTTCACTGACCTCTTCTGGTTGATCAAGGTCTACTGTGTGTCTGCCAGGTGTGTGAGCTCTGTTGTACCTGTACTGACCTGAGTATAACCCTGTATCACTGCAGCCTGGGGAGAACTCAAACTACCAGAGGTCAGCAAAAACAGGATTTTCAGCTGTTATTAAAATAATCTCTAAGGTAGTGCAAAGGTCAACTGCTGAGACCTGGATCAGAGACAGGATAAGAAAATGCACTAAATACTTGGATCTACCTTAAGATTTGGACCCGGAAATACAAACAGGAAAAGAAAGTTTTTCATGCCTGCACTGTGCTGATATCCTCCTGTTGAGCACTGAGGAGGAAGACACAGGATGAGTTTGGTTGGAGAGAGCGGAGGACCACAAGGGGGCCTGCAGAAGCTCAGTTTGCTGGGCACCGCACCCAAAAAGAGGAGCTGGAGTGTCTTTGGATATCTGCGGTACTCACCTAAGAGGAACAAGGAAACGAACAAGGAAACAAACATAGGAAGAAGTGAAGGGGAGGGGTCTTGTCATAGCATGTCTGCTTCGTAGGAATGACAATCCTAGTATAACTGCCATCATTGCAGGAAGCAATAACCCAAGTGGTGGGAAAGCATATATGTCTTAACACTGAAAGCAATCCGCAGACTGCACAGCAAGCCAAGAGCTGCTGTGGCTCTCCTGACCTCCACATATTATGTATCGGCCCCCAAATAAGGAAAAGAGCTTGTGTTGTCTAGTTGGCATGCTTAAAAACACTGTCTTATAAGGAACTGATGGAGTGACTGAATGGCAAACAACACAGGGCCAGTGTGTCAGTGCCGAGAATCATTTTGCCCTATCCAGAAGTAAAGAAACAGACTAGAATTTGATGAAGAGGTACGGCTATGGTGAAATTCTGAATAGCTTATCTTGGAACAAAACTTTGCATCTTCACTTTCAATTTATTTCCTCTGTTAACTACGGTATTAATGCATGACTGGAGGAACGTCACTCAGTTGTCTTATCAGGAATGGAACTGACCTGCATGAACTTTGGTGGCAGACTCTGATGACTCTACATGCTAAATATCTTGTATATTTCGGATGGAAATGATAATTTTCTTAACAATAGTTAATCTGATGTGTTAATCTGACCAGTGGTGTTGAGAAATGGTTTAACCTTGTTACACAACTTGCACCTTTTTGGAAAGAAGACAATGAAAGAGAATTTGAGTGGACATCTGGGCAAACATTAAACGGATTAAAATTTGGCTGTGGGTTTGTTGATGTTGTGTAATCTCCTGTCTGCTTTCTCATTCACAGACATACAAAAATCCAAAACGCCATGTCACCATTAGTAACAAACTCTTCCTTCCTGAACCTGTGGGAAGCCTTTTGTGTGTGTGTGGCTTTTGTTGCATTTATCAAAACTATGTGTTGGGCCATTGTTGATGCCTTTTGATTGCTTAAACAGAAAATAAAAGAGAAAGTGAACATGTTGGTGCGGTGTGTTGGGGTATGAGGTATTGCATGTCACTGGTTATTAGTGGTTCTTTTCAGTCTTTCAGTACTTTCAGAGGACTTGTCACAGCTTGTTGACTTTACTAATGCATTTTATTGTCAGTGCACGCAAACCAGAGCACCGAGATATGTTATCTGTAAAAGTTCTACTAAAATAACCTGCGAAAATACCAACCCAAAAAATGAGTTGAAACCTAACTGATGGCTTTATTATTGTTAATGAACCATACTAACATCATACTGATACTTTATAGATCAGTTAAACAATAAATAAGAATAACTTTTGGGTTGCCAGGTTGTAAACGATCCCTCTAATCTCCTTCAGCATCACTCTCTCTTTGTTTTCTGTGTTTTAACTCTTTAGTTCAGGAGTTTCCTGCAATGGCCCTAAATTTTTATTTATTTTATTAAAATTTTTAATATTTATTAAAAACCTATTCACATTTATCATAATAAAAAAGGAAAAGAAAACATTTATTAATGTCTTAGTAGCATTTCTAAAGCAAATGACGAATGTTTGCTGATGGTTTATTAGTAGAGAGGAACCTATGATCCTTAAAGTTACTAACATTTGTAACTTTAGACCAAGCTAATACTTTTCCAATATTGAGGGGGGATACGAGCGGCCCCTCCCAACTTGGACTGACCCTCATTTTTGCTGAATTCTGAATGGCTGAAAGGCGCCGATCTGGGGTGAGTTCAATCCAAAACCTTGTGCATCGTTTTACTACGTTTTGTTGGGGCTGAACTCACCCAGGTTTGTGTGAGAAGTGCAACAGAGAAGGGAATGAAAGAATGTCCATCTCCCTCGTTCTCAATTCTTCCTTTTACTTTACTTTAGCTTGTCGGTTGACAACTGACTTGAAAACATAATGTCCAGTGCAGCTGACCAGCCGCCCAGTCGGGCATTCACGCCAAGGATGGTGCATTCAGTAACTCAGTACCGCAGCGTTACTTGGATTAGTAACTGCAATAATGTTTTGGAAATAGTAATCCATTAAACTACTAGTTACTGGGAAAATGAGTAAATGTAAAATGAGAAAAGTAATATAAGTACAGTTGCTGCCCAACACTGCCAACAGGCCTAGCTACTGCATGAAATTAGTTATAATTTAATGTTAGTATAATATTCTAATATTTCATACTTCACAAATCCTTTGCAACCAAAATAAAGATTTTTTTTAAACAAATAAAACTGACAAATTAAACTCAATCAGCAACAGAAAACTACTTCCTTAAAAGAGAAAGCAAGCATGTAAAAGATTTAACTGAAAACACATGAATGAACACTTTTAACACCCTCCCTCCTGCAAGGGAGTAAACAGGAGACTACACCTACACATTTCCCAAGTATGCGGCTCCACACTGCTGTCTGACCCTAACTGGTCCACTGATCCCATAGATGTCATTTACACTGGGGACACTGGGGACATGTCCCCGCCACATTTTGAAATGGCTGATTTTTCACTTTTTGCTTTGAGAAAGGTTGATTTGCACAGTAAAAAAAACACAGTAAAAAAAACATGCATAGTTTTCCCTCAGAAAAGTAGACCTACTTATTCTCTCCACCAATTAGTGAACACGTTTGCAAGGCATTGTATGCATGCTGCATTCTCATTAGGGGCTGAGCACCCCTAAAGGTCTGATCCTAGAATCGCCCCTGTTATGTATTATGACTGTTTTGTTCAGATGACACGGTCTTTTTTTATTTAACCTAAGGTTAAGGTCGGCCTACTATGTATTAGTTCCCACAGTACTCAGGAGTGTCTGTCTAATACTTTTTGGTAACTGTCTTGTACTCCTACGGTCGTTTTTAATAGCACAGCCGAGCTTCTTCAGTAGCCTATTGCAGTACATCTAATCTCGAGCCATTCCTCAACATTTCTGTAGTCAGTGTCGCTCGTGCTCGCGCGTGTTCCTGGCAAAAGAAAAAGGAAGCACTCCGCCCAAATCCAGCCTCAATGCCTTCATACCTCCGCAGTGTCAAGAGACGTTTACGAGAAAGTTTAACTGAAGAACGGACATTTAATTTCTTCCGTATTTTAAACCGTGACAGCAGGCGCTCGTATTCGGGAGCGGGAAAAACCCTCCGTTTTAGCTCACGAACCAACTGTTGTGGGAAGATAAAAGTTAGAAGCAAGACCAGGATGTTCCAAAGTTTGGATTTTTTTGTTTTAAGTTGCCTTTTTCTATCGACTGAATCGGACGCAGGTAAGAAAACATACTTAGTGTTAAATTTTCCTACATTGTTTCTATTAAATACTTCTTTCATCATTTTGCGCTGTTTGTTTCCCATTAACGAAGAGGTTTTCCCGGTAGACTACAGACGTCACGTCTGGCATTCATCACTGTTGGGCAAGACACTGAGGATAGGAACATGTAAGATGACGGGTGGCAACAAAGAACTCCAGTAGATGCATAAGCCCACATGAATCTAAGTCTTAAACGGGATGTGTGAAGCAGTAAGGAAATGGGACACAAATGCAGACAACCAGGCAGACAGGAACTAGCCTGTAATGATGTTCAGTGACTGCAAAGCTCCGTGGCAAGGGGGGCTCAGGAAGTGGGAATGTGACCTGGGAAGAAGGAAAGGATAGAGAGCCACCCAAAAAAACAACTGAGTCAGGGCAGCGGCTTTACACTAAGCTCATAGTGGTAAGGTCTGGGGTTTCTCAGTGTAAGTTTCCATACAGAATGTTGTGTGTACTTGACAAACAAGAGTTGGAAGTGTTAAACTGCCAGGCCTAAAAAAGAAAATACCATAGAGAGGTAGGCCCCACAGTATTTGTGACTTTCGGTTTGAAACTAGTTTTTTTTTTTTTTTTCAAGCTGCATGGGAAAGGGATTTTCCTGTCCTAGAGGCTGCAAACAGAGCAGCTGTTGACCAGCAGTTTTTTTTTTTTTTGCAGTTTACATAAATATTTTTTGGCAGATCTGTTTTTCCCAGATGTGCAAATAATCCCACTGTGCTGCAGTAAACTCAGTCCAAGAAGCACTGTTTCATCAGTTTAGATCAGCAGAATGAAACTGAATTAATAGGAGGTGTTCACAGATCAAGAGGCTAATTAAAGGCTCACTGAAGTCCCATGTTACCAGATTTCTGTCTCTCTCCTTCTCCACATAAGGCCAGATATTACGACCACAAAATGTGTCTCTACAGTGGAAAAGTGATTTTGAACCGCTGCTGACATGGGCACCACCACAGCATTCAGGGGAAAACTGCACATATACGGTCACGAAAAGGACCTGGACGAATTCCCTCGAAGAAATAAACGTGAGCATGCAAATATGATTCTTTTTTGTAAAATGTAATTCTGTTTATATTTAAATATATTGTATGAGGAATGCAACTCCACAACACCCTTTAACTTTTTATTGGGAATCACTGTAGAATCTGCACCAACGTATCCCACCAGTTATAATAAAACCTAAAGTTTAGGATCTTAGGGTATTTTAGCAGTACAAATACTTCCTTGAGTACAAATAATCTCAATGTACTGCTGCAAAGTCAGTTACAATTTACAAAACACATTTATTTATTTACTGTGAAAACTAAATTAAACTTAATCTTTAGCTCTACATGACAACCATTTTATATATATATATTATTTTTATTATCTGTTTATATTATTATTAAAGCCTGTTTCTGAAACAGCTCCACATATGCATTTTTATCTGTGGCTATGCTACATGTACAGTAAAATACTGATAATGCATTAGTAGTTCACTCAATGTGTTTTACAATTTGTTTCTCTGTTTCTTGGTGCATTCAGATTAAACAAACAGCTCCCTGGTCTACGTACACCGTGATGGAGGGAGGATTTCTGGAAGTATCTGTTGAAGCTGTCTGTAGTGGTGGAGTTACGGTTTTTCTTAACCACACCAGCCCAGGTAGTGCAATTTTCTTACCACTGAGTGTGTTCTCAAAATTTGAATGCTCTTGCGTAGACAGAAATGTGGGCTTAAAACCTTTTGTCCATATATGGACTGAATTAATGTCTGTGTATTTGTTTGCTCATTAAAATGTGTTTATGTGTGTCTGTTTGTCCCAGTGCTGGTGAGGAATTTGAATTGCATCTATTCCTCCAAAAAAAGTCACTGCTCCTGGACACCAGTCAGTCACACTCCAGATCTTGCTTTCTTCTATAGGTATGTGTGGGTTTGTTTTTTGTGTTATTATTATGTTTTATTTATTTATTTTTTACATTTTGTGCTTACACAATAAAAGGCACAGGAACCAGTGCTGTAGATCAAGAGTTGCCACACAGCACGGTGTTTATGTGAGTAAGCTGTATTGCTTCCTGAGAGCTTAACTTATGTTTCGCCACATGCAGAAAGAGCTGGACGGAACCCAAGAGGAGGTTATGAGCCGAGTTTTAGTTAAAACATGAGGAATTTGGGCTTATCAGGCCAGTGCTCTGGCGGGTGTCAATATGAGGTTAGGGATTGTTTTCTTGTTTGTGTGAGGCTTATACCCAAGCCATGTTTGGTAGTGACACGTTAAAATGTTAACTCCAGACAACCATAACATGACAAACATTAGCATAAATGGAAATCCAAAGCTGAAAAGTAAATTTGAAGTGCTAAAATTGGTGTCATCATATTCTTTTTAAAACTGCAGGTTTGAAAACATCACCAGCAATATACTCTCCTATAGTGTTCACTATATTCAAACTATTTGTAAATTCCTTAACTTTATTATTATTAAGCATTTTATTTTAAATCCATGAATACCATCTGAGGATTTAAAATGATGGCTCTTATAGTTCTGTAACGAAGGCATTGAACTGATCACTGGTTTTTTTCTTTGAGAGTTCTGTGCAACTCCCCCCCCCCTCCATTCAATACCCTCTCTTAATTCATTCCTTTCCTATTGTTAATTGAAAAAAGGTAGTACATGGATGATTCTCCCATGTTTAAAAGTGTAGCACTGTCTGTGGGCAGAAACCAAAGGCGTTATGAATAAACTGAATAGCATCATCACTTTGGTGAGAAATGCAAAATAAACAGCGTTACCAGGTTTAAAAGTCATATCTGACTTCATGTTAAACATCTGAAATATTACAGTAAGGAAGTAGGCAGGGTTAAGTGACTGATATGTGATGGTATGTGAGTTTTTGCCATTCCAGCCTATACTTTCCTTTATTACAAGCTGTGATCTATTTTCTGTGCAGGACATTATAGCCAAAAATGTATCTTGATAAACAGTTTCATATCTTTTGATATCGATAATTATCACGATAAGTATCAAACCAGTATTTCTTTCGAGTTTAAAGGCTGATTTTGGCTCCTGAATGAAAGTTGAAGAAACCTGATGGTTAATTGTGGTTTAAACTCTTCTTTATGGTCAACACCTGAGGCGCCAGTGGTGGATCACTTCACAAATCTGCGGCAGAACATTCAAAACAATTATGATAAAATCTTTGTTAACAAAAATAAAAATTTAGTAAATGCTTTTTTCAGTACCTTTTCCGCAACAAAATAAACATCTTAAATAAAAAACTAGAACAAGGTCCAAGCCTCCCAGTGCAAGCCGGGGGCCTTGCCCCGCGGAGGGCGTGCGAGTAAACCTGGGCCCGCCATGATTTATTGTCCACGGACCCTGCTGTGGCTCGGGGGGCCGGTGGGGAAGAAACAACGAGTTATAAATTAAAGGGAGTTGCGGTTACGGAGATATAAAATGAATGTATGTCTATGGGAGTGTTATTTGATTTCCAATTAATAGTGCCACCTAGAGCCCGATTGATGCCAAATTTCTCACAGCCCCTCGGGAGGTTGTGCCAGATAATGTTCTTGAGTTTGGTGTAGATTGGCCGTTGAAAACGTAAGATCTGACATGACATCCTGTTTTAGCATTTGCGCAAACATTTGTTAGCTTATAATTCAGACATTTTTTAGCGGATCAAAATTCCCTCTAGAAACTTTTATCAGCTTGGTCCAGAGATGGTCCATGCCAAGTTTCGTGCCGATCGAACTTTCGGGTTCGGAGGAATTAAATAAAATAGGTTTTTCAGATTTAGTGAAATAAAAACGTCATCGCACAGAGGAGTGTTTTATACCATCGGCAGAATCCCCCAAACACGTAGACATAAGGTTTATGATTGTGCGATGTAGTGGCACGTAGTTATGAGGCAAAATGTGGCTTGGCTGAAAATCCCATTGAAATGGGATTTTCTGACGGTATTTGAGCTTCGATTATAGCGCCACCTTTAGGCCGAATTGCACAAAATTTGGTATCAATTGGACTTGTGGTTATGGAGACATAAAATGCATGTAAGTCAATGGGATTTTTTTTGAATAGCGGCTAACTGCACCAAATTTTGCACAGCCCCTCGGGGGCATAGCACATAAGGTCCTCAAGTTTGGTGTTGATCTGCCATTCCCAACCTAAGATATGACATCACTTCCTGTTTATAGCATTTGTCAAAAACATTTATTAGCGTATCATTTCAACAATTTTTGTTGTATCAAAATTTCCTCTAAAACTTTCATAAGCTTGGTCCAGAGATTATCCGTGCCAAGTTTTGTGTCAATCGGAGTAGCGACTTCGGAGGAGTTAATTAAAATAGGGTTAGAGTTATCAGTATTCGCGATGTAGCGGGAAAAAAAGTCAAGGCAGAAATGGGCGTGGCCTATACCAGTATCAGTTTTATTTACGGAATAAAAATAAAACAATAGGGTTGCCTTGCATTCCGCAATGCCTTTCATTCGCGGGTTCTCAGCCCACTCGGGCTTGGACCCCTAATTAAGTCCTAATTTGTGTATGATTTATGTGAGTAAAGTCAAAAACATTTACCGAATATTTATGGAACATTTGTTAAATTGTTATTGTTTTATTGCCCAGCCATATGTACACATTTAGCTCTTTTACTTCAACTTCAAACACACCATCTGGGCTGCAGAAAGAGGAATGAGGACTGAATGAAGCTATCATAACACATAACAGGCTAATGCACCATGCATAATATCCGGTAACCATAGACATATTTGAGGTTAAGAAAACAGTTCAGATAAAGAAATCAGCTTAAAATATGGAAGCAAGCCTGAACTAATGAAACTGTGTCCCAAATTATCAGGCATGCTGCTGAAAAACAGATTTGGGTCTTTACACCAAATAGTGAGCCATACTTTGTAAAAAAAATAGAAAACCTTTATTCCTTCACATAAAGAAACAGTTCCTGTTGGTCCAGGGTTTCTCACCCTACATCCAAATCAGCATGTTAACTTTAAACTTCTTATATATGCACTTGTACGCTACACCATTTCTGCATTGCAAAAGTCAGTCTCTTTATATAGTCGTAGAGTCCTGAGTTCCACGTGATGGAAACCGGGACTCATTAAGTGTTCCTTAAAAGACAGTGGTGTCGTGTTATCCTTGGCACGGTAAGGCCAAGCAAGTTGTAATTTACTAAAGTGGTACCATGACAGAGTTGGCTCTCAACCTCATGGTTCATGCCCAGGGATTCCTCCAGACCTGTTGTAAATTAAGAAACTGTCCTTCATCTTTTCTATTTGTGACCTCCTAACACCGTGTCCTAACTGAATCCAACGTGATAGTCGGACGCCTGCTCGTTGTTAAGACATGAGTCCTGGAAAAGTCATGAGGGCAAGATTATCGGTTCTCTTGACAGATTTAATATCACCACCACGCTGCGTGTGTAAAGGCCAAAACCAACAATAAGTTGATACTACTGAAAAGGATTATGTGTTCATCCAATGTTTCCTTATTCCTCGATGCCACAGAGCTTCATTGTCCTTTGAAAAACCCATTGTGACAGAGCGGCTTCGTCACTGAGTGCGGGCCCCACACATACACACACACACACACACACACACACACACACACACACACACACACACACACACCACGCTCCCTTCCAGCCTCAGTTAAGCCGGTCATAAACCTCGCTATTATGCATTTTTCTTCTACTGTTTAAGTAGCGCGATCAAGGGTGCACACTTGGTAGTTCTACTCTTCTTTAAACATACATTTAAACAAACATCAAACACTTACTATGTGTTGAGATGCATCGCAGGTTTGCTCTGTTTTCCATCCAGTCTGGCAAAACAGGAGCGTAACATTTCCGTCTTAAATTGCATGTTCTCGCGCGCTTTCATGGTCACGTGAACTGCACAATTATGGTTGTAGTAGTAATTGGTGATGCAAATAACTGTTTCAGGGTAAGGAAAATGTTTGTGGAGTTGGATATAATTATTGTCGAAAATATGTCGAAGTGTAATAGATATAAATCCTTTTCTGAAGTTAGTAAAATGTGTTTATTATATTGTTTAAATAAGGGTTAAGCCTAGTGGGAGGGGCTACTGGCTTTAAAAGTCGCAGCTTTGGACCTGTAAGGTCAGTCTTGGCCTGGTAACAGAGGAGGTAACTAATGATTTGTATTTTTGTGGGGAGAGAGAAATAGAGTTATTGAAGATTTCTTTGTGTGTGTAACTTTATTATTGAGTAGGTTATTTAATTTTTACAAATAGTTATTGTATTTTGTTTTCTTTATGCAAGTTTTTTCACTGTTTGCACTTTTTCGACTACGCCTGTGTTTTTCCCTATTTTGTGGCGTTTGGAAGAGAACCCTGCTACACCCATTAATGAGCCACTCTGTTGGACTGGGTGACAGGTTACATCATTACATTACATTCATTACATGTTATCCTTATTTTTACAGCTCATGGTGACTGGACAATTCACATGTTTCAGTTTTTCAGATAATCAGCGATACTCTTTCTGTCAGACACCGGTTTCAGTGTAATTACACAAAATAGCATTAGTTTGACTCTTATGGCAGAGTAGCACCATTAAACATGGTGAAAGATTTCAACTTTTAGAAAGATGTGAGCTGTAGAAATCTCAGGACAACACAAGTTTAAACCCATCTTAAAACCTAAGTCATAGCTAAACCAAGAGCTGAGGCTGAGAGCCAGTGACATGGTAGAAAATTGGAAAATTATTGAGTTATTTACCTTTTTTACTTAATTTTTTAGTGATAATTACCTGAAAGGATAAGAGACAGGTTTCAAAATCATAGTATTATGTTGATCAACTGATTAATCAGTCACTGCAACCAGCCAGCTCCATACTTCTTTGAAGTGTTGAAGTCTCTGAGGATTAAAGAAATAATTAAACCTTATTTAGT